TCTTCCAAAGTATTTGCAACCCCTCACAACTTCGTATCCTCCGCAAACTTTATAAGTGTACTCTCTATGCCATTATCTGAATCACTGATGAAGATATAGAACAGAACCGGACCCAGAGCCAATCCCTGCGGGACCCCACTCATTATGCCATTCCAGCATGACTGTGAACCACTGATAACTACACTCTGGGAATGATTTTCCAACCAGTTATGCACCCACCTAATAGTAGCTCCATTTAGGTTGTATTTCTCTAGTTTGTTTATGAGAAGGTCATGCGAGACAGTATCAAAAGCCTTACTAAAGTCAAGATATACCACATCTACCACTTCTCCCTATCCACAAGGCTTGTTACCCTGTCAAAGAAAGCTATCAGGTTGGTCTGACTCGATTTGTTCTTGACAAATCCATGCTGTTATTTATCACCTTATTATCTTCTAGGTGTTTGCAAATTGATTGCTTAATTATTTGCTCCATTATCTTTCTGGGTACAGAAGTTAAGCTGACTGGTCTGTAATTGCCCAGGTTGTCCTTATTTCCCTTTTTATAGATGGGCACTATATTTGCCCTTTTCCAGTCTTCTGGAATCTCTCCCATCTTAAATAACTTTTCAAAGATAATAGCTAATGTCTCGGCTATATCTCTCAGATATTAACTCTCTCTGCTCACTTCCCAGCCATCTAGGGATGTGTGTATTGCAATGTAAGCCCAGGGTTAGCAGAACTCAAATTAGCAGAGCCTGGGTTTGTTAACCTAGGACTTGAACATCTACACTAATTTGTAACCCCAGGTCAGGAATGCTTGTATCCTGGGTCCCAATCTAGGTCTCCAGCAGCTACACTGCATAATGTGGGCTCGAGTCCCATCACCCATATCCCAGTCTTCCTAGCACCCTCCCAAAATGTGGCCACTCTAGCCAGAGGTGACACGTGGGGAGGGGGGGACACATGGGGCCATATGCCTCCCAGATTGCTTGGTCATATGATGTGGCTGGGTCCCCTTCCTGGGGGGGAACTGAACCAGTGAGCTGTGAGCTATGCCGGTCAGGGAGAGGGAGAGGCAGGAGAAACAGCTGGAAGCTGAAGGGAGGGGGAAGGCTCATGACTCGAGCTGTTCCAGGGTTGTGCCCCCACCCCCTCACTATCAACAGGCATGGGTCATCTCTGGCTTTGTTCATGTTGCAGTGTGGGAAAACTTGACTGTCAACCAAACTTGACTGTCCAGAGGACAAAAAAGTCAGCCTGTGATACTTTTGGCAGACTTTCAGAATATGAGTCCAGTGGGGTTGAGTCTACACTGCAAAGGTCCTGGCTTAACTCAGGCTTGGACCCCATACCCCATGAGGTCTAGGGACCCTGGGTCAATGCGATTTGTGTGTAGATGAAAAGGGAATTAGGTTGGAGTCCGAGTTCAAACTATGGACTTTCACTGCAGTGTAGACTTACCCCAAGAGGTTTTCAGACCTTATGGAGCTGGCTGGTCTGTTTTGTTCCTCTATTACTGAAGCCAGTCAATTATTCAGCTACTCTACCTCTTTGGACACTCGGGGTATGTCTACACTTCAATTAAGAACCCATGGCTGGTCATGCCAGCTGACTCATGGGCTGTGGGGCTGTTTAATTGCAGTGTAGACTTCTAGGGTTAGGCTGGAGCCCAGGCTCTAGGACCCTGTGAGGCCCAGAAATCTACACAGCAATTAAAAACAGCCCCATAGCCTGAGTCCCAGTAGCCTGAGTCAGCTGGCATGGGCCAGCCATGGGTGTCTAATTGCAGTGTAGACATACCCACAGTCTACTTAGCTCTTTCCTCCTCTCCAAGAGCCCTATTTCTCCCAGCAACCAAAGCTTGGAGTAACCACTGGCTCCCCACACTGCCTGGCCACCAACTGCTTAAGTGGGAATTAAATGGAGCATTGGCCCCATGCTGGCCACTGTACAGGGGTGAGGAGTTTCACACATTATGGACACTAAAAACAACAACATGGAACTAACTGTCAGGACAACTCCAGGCTTTCCCTCCTACATTTCTAGAGACCAGGATTCTTTAAAAACGGAGTTGGAGTTTGCATTCAATTCTCCTGACCATTCATATATTCTATGACCAAATTGTGGAAGCAGATGATGGGCGGCTGGACAGCACACACCTCTCTTCCAGTGATCTATGGACTCAAATACACCACTTACTATTACAAAGTAAAAGAAACCAAAACAATTATTTCAGTACAACTCCTGTAGCATTTTGCATGCAGTTGCTTCCTGCAATTCAGAACAATCAGTACCTAACCGTAAATAAGCCCAAATTTCAGTCCTCCTTTGGTTTCTCACTTCTGGTTGGCAACTTTTCAGCCAGTGGGAATGTAATGCTTGCATACCTGGGATTAAAACAAGTTTGCTAACTTGACTCTTCTAAATGAAAACATTTTCAGCCAATCTAATAAAGATCCTAGGAGTGTTTCAAGAGACAACAAGCCCCTGAACTAGAGCCCTTTTTATTACATTTTCACTTAGCTCTGTTTGCACAAGAATTGCTTTTCCAGGAAAGTAAATCAGGGCACCCTTTCCGAGGAAAGCTGGCTGCCGCCACTGTAGGGCCTTTAATTGGCTTTTCAGAGATACATTCGCTCTGCACATTGCAGGCAAAACACTCAGCGCTGTTACGGGCAAGCCTGGTTTGGTGTGGGGATGCCTGCATTTGTATATTCTGCCTTCTGAAGAGTTAGTCTCAGGGTAAGCCTGACAGAGGGAAAATCTAGCAACTAAAGATTTTAAAAAGGGGACTAATTAAATAGCAAAGAATAATGGGGCAGGGTTTGTTGTATTTGAGGATAGCTGTTGGCTAAATACACATTCATCTAGTCTGCTTCTGCTCTTACACTTACTGTGAGTAAAAACTGAAATTGTCTACATATTTAAATAATGAAGTGTGAGAAGGATTTTATTCCTGCTTTAAGGGCCTGATCTACAGCCAATGCAATCCTTGGAAAGATTCCCAGGGACTTCAAAGGGCTTTGGTTCAGGTCCTATATGCAAATTTCTATGCAACCTTAATGAGAGATACGCTAAAATGCCTCCATAATTTTCTTGTGTGAAAAAAAGAGGACAGAGCCTGTCTTTGCTTTTTGTGTATTATGCAGCACCACGTACTTTATCAGCATTTATCAAATAGCTCCTTATCTTCTTCGTTTCTTATTCTGCACTGAACAATTCCATTTTTATACTGCAACACAGGGACATTGTTGAGTCAAATTTGGCCAAAAATTTACCAGCAGGTTTTGGGAAGATAAGCCTTTACATAACCTAAGACCAATAGAAATGTTTCCCTGCATTTATTTATTTTTAATTCCAAATGAATATGTTATAAATAGAAAGCACAGCCATAACTTTCCCCTGGTACAACTGGAGCCCGTACATAGTGGCCTGGTGCTAGGGAAAACCTGAAAGCATTATGGACTAGAAACACATGATACCTTCCATTGAAATCAATGGCAAAATTTCTATTAAGGTCAATGGCAAGCAGGAGCAGACTGTAGAAGCTAAGCATTTGCAAATAACACCACCACTTAGCTCTTATATGGCATTTTTCATCCATGGGTCTCAAAGTACTTTATAAAAGGATGAGGAAATGGAGGCATGGAGAGGCAAAGGGACTTGCCCAAAGTCACATAACAGAGCAGTGGCAGAGCCTGGAACACAATCCAGCTGTCCTGATGCTCAGTTCAGCGCCCTGGACCATGTTGCCTCCAGCTATAATATTTCATTTGTCCAAGCCGAATGAAATTCCCAAACCACTAGTAAATAATGAAAAGTAAATTAAATCTAACAATCTAAGCGAGGGTGTAATTTGTAAAACAAGAAAGGATTTTTTTAAATATATAAAACATTTTTAATTGAGAAAAGTCTTTTGAGTTTGGATATATTCAATCAGTGCTGTGAGGTGACATTTCAAGGGTTGAACTGCTCTCTTTAAACTATTCCCGCCTTTGACCAGGAAGATATAACTTCAGCTTGTTTTCCTTTGGCTCTTTGTTCACCAGACATTTTTGGTTGCGGGGTCTGGACTGGATTAGGGGCCGCTACCATGCTGAGAGAGACAGAGGACAGTGCTTTAGTGCACTGCTCCAATCCAATCCAATCACCTATCACATTTTCCAATACAGCATTCATACTTCCAGCTGCCACAAGGTCATCAGCATTAGCTTAAATCAAACGTCCTCTGGCTCTAGGTCCCATGATGAAAAATTTATGGAGTCCTGGACATGGTACAAGTTTTACAGCTTTATGGATGAAATCCTTCAGGTCTCTCTGACCTACTGAAAAAAGGATTACAATAAAATAAACCCCCAAATGTTCAGTTTTGTGTGTGCATTTTTCCTACAGAATGTGTGCATTGCTTCCAGCAATGTGTTTTGTATTACCTGGAAGAACAGAAAAGCGCTAATGGGAGGAAACAACTTGATTCTTATTGCCAGTGCAACACAAAACAGAACCTCCAAACAATACAATGGCTTCTTGACCAAAGCCATCTTGCTCACTTTGGGGTCTTGGGGCCTAGTTCTCAACTCTATTACACCCATTTTACACTTTCAGTGGAGCTACACTGGTATAAAAAACATCAGCATAATGGAGTGAAAACTTGGGACCTCAGTCTTTTTTTTTCATGTCACTGCTTGGCTTTCAGTTTATACCTATCCCAGACAACATCTACGGAAAGTAATCTGCCTTCTCTTACCATTAGTCCGTCTTTTCTGCATAAGACACACATGGCATGTGTGTTCCTTTCCATAAACTCAGTCTCCTTCCCAAAGAGCTTCCAGTGAAACTTTTATAATCTATTTATCAAGAAATCCAGAGAGGGTGCAGGAAATAGCCTTCTCTAAGCCCTAGATATAAACATTTCCTGGCAAAGGATGCTCTCTAGGAAAGATCCCTGTGGTCTTTCTGCTGCACCAACCTGGTTTCAATATGGGTTTTTGTTTTTACAAAGCCATGTTTGAGCCACCTCACCTTGACTGTGAAGTCTGCACTGAGAGGCCCAGACATTCTCAGTATCTCCTTGTCCGGAAACTTCTGGAAGTCAACGCTAGAATTGTCCACCAGGAAAGAGCCTGTAGAGCTGAGGCTGTTTTCTCCCTTCACGCCTTGCAGAGTCTTGGTTTCCAAATCTGACAAACACAAAAAAAGATTACCCAGAGCAGGCGAGCTCATGACAGTTACAAAATAATAATACCATGGGGATGGAGTGTAATAAATAGTAAAGGAAAACCAGGCCCAAATTAACCAACATACACTCAGTGCCTCTCGGGGGCAGGGGGTTGGAGGTGGGGCAACCACCAGATTTGTGTTGCTGGCATTGGAAATGACCAACACTGATTGCTGTTGCGACCTTGTACAAAGGGTCACAGAGCCACTCAGGTTTGGCCTGGACGCCCCTCCATCATGACGGGGAAGGGTGCGGGGGAGTGGGATTGGTCTGGACAAATTTGAGTGAGTGGCATTGTGCCACGTGATCCAAATCCAAATCACAACCTAGTGATTTCATCTGTGCCCCACTGTCCCAAATCTTCGCTGAGGCAACATCTCATTCCAAAATAAAACAGGTCCCGGATCAACCTTTTCTCTCTTACTTCTAAAAATTGCCTCTCTTGGCTGCCATACAGCTTAATTCCATTGCAAAATTTTGCTAGCTTGGGAAAGAGCATGTTTGCTGGGAGAGAAGGCAGGAGCAAGGGAAGAGGTAAAGTCATTCACAGGGAAAGGAATAACAACTACACTAGAGCAGGCCAGGAATATCCAAGGGTCCACTTAAAAAATTATGCATTTCAGAGGATTTGAACTTTTAAGAAAATGTTATGTATTTTTTGTTCTAGTTTATAACCTGTAATTTGCTGGTGATTATTCACAGCTCTAAATCTAAACAGCTATAAAAATATTAAGTAACTACTGCTATCTCAACACAAATAGCAGATCATATACTGGGATTTCCAAACACACCCTTTCCATTGTACCAGGATGCAAGCACTTTGGCGTGATTTCCTATGCATTTCAGCTCCATGCTATTACTAGTGCTCTGTTAACGTTGACATATGGCCTGCTGTCTCTTACTGGGTCTACGCTGTCAGAAAGTTGTGTCCGCACTTGGGGGAGAAAAACCACTACAGTATTTTGTAATTTCCCCAAATGCTACATCTTACCAGTTACACTCCTTTGAATGTTTGGGGCTATTGTTAGAGAATACTGCAGTATTTTCTTCTATAAAAGCAGGGGAAGATTACTTGGCTCACTTGCATTTTGATCTATCTTCAGTGCCACTGCTGAAAAAGAGGCAGCAGGCGGTTGGCTACTGCATAGGTATGCAAGAGAGGGGAAGAGTGCAAAGGGCTTTCCCGCCCTTCTTGTGTCCTTGCTCACAGACCAGTCAAAAGTTATCCACTGTATGACACAGAACTTGTGTTCTCCTGAATGCAGAGAATGTTCTCTGCTTGCACAGTCTGGGGTACATGGCACTCCAAAAAGTGCAGGGAGGAAGTAGGGCCATCGTCCCCTCTCCTGCTCCCTCCACACCAGCTGCAGATGTTGCAACCATGAAAGGGTTAGTCCAGTCAGTGGGCTCATCCCCTCTGGGGCAGGGTGACTCCTTAACTGAACAGTTTGGCTCTACACATGTGTATCCTTTCCATTCTTCTCACTGTGGATGAATAGGGTGCATGTGGGATAAAGAGAGCAAGAGATTTAAAGAAGAACAGAAGCATGTGCTAAACTCACGAGCAGTTTGATGACAGAGCTCAGCAGCAGAGAAGCCTGTACTCTAACCTCCTCAGTATCTCTGCAGTCAGTGGGATTTTTTTTTTTTTAAAACAGAAGTGCTTGGCATCGAATGAGTCAGCCAAAAGATGAATACACAGAAACGGTTGAAAAACTGTGGAGGGACAGAAAAAGTCTGAGCCTTTGGCCACATTCTACTCTCTGATGCATGTGCAAGTCCACTGATTTCACTGGGATTGTCCAGAGCACCCGAAGGCAGAATTCTGTCCCGTGTTGAAATCAGTGATTTGAGAGAAAGAAACCAGACATTCCTGTTGTAAATAAAACACCAGAGGATACCAAGGATCTTATAAAGCAACACCACACCAGCTTTTTCTACTTACGTAAGTGATCAGGTCCTTTCAACACTAGACGAACATGCCTACTTCCATAGGGAACAGCGACAACAGTATCTTCCGCTGCAGAGAAATGCAAAAATGCATGGAGTCAGTAAGCAAAGGACACCCTCCTGTCTTCAACCAAGCATTGAAAGAGCTGTTCGCGGGAAAATTAAAAGCCAAGCTTTTGGTACCATAACCCCTCGTCCTCTCCCCGGCAAGTTCCAACAAAAGGCAAATGTCAGCAGTCATCTTAAAGGGATGTTCACATTCCAACCTACTGATTTCATTTATACTCCACTGTTACCCAAGTGTCTAAAGTGGGACTGATAGCTTTTTATTTCACCTGACCTCCAATTAAAACAAAGCATCTCTTACTCTTCCAAATTATTTTGGCATATATATTTGTGCTGAATTTGGGAAGTATAAAAATATTCAAATGCTCAAAGGGAAAAGTCAAAGCACTGAACTCTAGAACTCCCTGTTCCTTCACATACTACATGATCCACTCCCAGCTGAACCCTCAAAACCCTTTCCCTTCCATATGCCTTTGCATGCCACATGATCTCCCAGCTAAACTCTGCAACTCCTTCCCTATCTCACAGCAGACCCTACTAAGACATGCCCCTACTGTGGTGGTATAATTGTGTTTTCCTTTCCATACCACCCACAACAAGCCATGGTAGTACACGGGCCCATTAGACCTTCAGCATAAACAGGCTCTTGGGGCCTGATCCTGCACCATTGAAGTCTCTGGGAGCTTTGCCACGGACTTCAATGGGAGCCAGATTGCGCCCTTAATGAGTCCAAGGCAATAGTCACTAATCTGCTCTCTCCTGCAGTTTACATGCTGCTGTTAGATCAATGATGCTAAAGAACCAACTATCTGAATAGCATCTTGGTGCTCTGCAGGGGTACTAAAGAGGGGAGAGTGTTGTGGCTCCAGAGAGCAGATTCCCCACCTTCCCGCTAATCAGCTGCTAAGCCAGGCAGGCAGGAGAGTGCTCAGCTGCACTCAGTAGCAGCCTCAGGCTGTTCCCTCCTCCTCTCTCTGCTTCCTGTCTCCCCCGCGCCTCTCGAACTTGATGCTGACCGTTGGGGGCAGGAATGACAATAGTGTTGTCCCCCTCAAAGCTGAAATTTGCAGAGGATAAGCTATTACCAGCAGGAGAGTGAGGTGGGGGGAGAGAAAACCTTTTGTAGTGGTAAACATCCATTTTTTCATGGTTTGTATGTATAAGAACATCTTCTGTGTTTTCCACAGTATGCATCCGATGAAGTGAGCTGTAGCTCACGAAAGCTTATGCTCAAATAAATTGGTTAGTCTCTAAGGTGCCACAAGTACTCTTTTTCTTTTTGCGAATACAGACTAACACGGCTGTTACTCTGAAACTAACAGGAAGATCTGTACTGTCACTGGGACTTTCTGAACAGCAGTCAGACATAGGCAAGGAAAATAAAAAAATTTACAGTACTCAGGCCCAACCCTGGATCCTAGAATGTTGAGCATTTTTATTCAAAACAACTAATCATGAAATAGTTAACAAGGTCAACATTTTAATTGTCATTATTGTGGTTCAGAATCAATGCCCTGTTGCGACGAGTAGGGCAGTTCAAACATCTCTTAGAACTATTCTTTCGGTCTGCAGGCTCAAGAAGATGACATGTGCTCTGTTCTCTCTTCTGTTTTATTCATAATCATAACAGCCAAAAAGTTATCCACTGTATGACACTGCCTCACAACGATTTTCCATAAAGGAAAGCTTTGGGTTCTTCGTAGATATATTTAAAATGCTGCAGACAGTGGGAAAAAGGTTGATGGAGCCTTTAAAATTACATCTATGAACATTTTTAGTACAAATGTATGTTCATAAAATTTAATGGACTGAGAGTGCTGAAAATAGAAAGTCTCTGTTTACCCATAGGTCATGGAAAGTGCAAGCAAAGAAACTCTCCATTTTAGCCCTCAGTGTGCTCAGTTCAGCCTTCAAAGGGCTCCCCCCCATGATTCCCCACCCTTATTCTCTTGCAAAAAGTGATTCAGTGTCCACACTACTGTATGACCCTCTGATGACCAGATATTAGCACCTCTGTCAAATTCAGTGTATAGTTATGGAGTTTGTTTATAAGCCAAGTTAAAGTCTTGTAACTCAGTTCACTGAGTCATGTCACCGTCTAGACTTGTGGATGTAAGACCAGTTCAGTATTTACAATACTTTCTATCTAGCTGCCCGATCAATAGGCCGTGAATCTCATCTGGTCCAGACACCACAAAACTGTTCCCTTTTTTGGCCTGGTGCAGCTTTCATAGCATGAGTGAAATACTGAATAGAAGATACAGCTTTCATTTATGATTGGTTGGAATATCACTAAAGAAAGCTTTCTTCCTAGGGAAAATATTTGGGAGCCATTAAGTCATAATCAATTTAGGACTGTCAGTGCTGGGAAAAAGTTCAGCAAGCTTCCCTGCTGATGTCCTAAAGGATCTTTTATCAGCTGATGCCAGTGTGTTTTTGTGGAACAGTGGCCAAATAAGAGCTGACAGTATGTGTACATGCATGGCAAGGAGAGGCGGAGTAGGAGGAGTGGGAAGCCAGAGGAGGAAAAGACAGGGATTCTTTTATACAGTAATGATAGTAAGTTCATTCAATCAAAATTTGATTATCCAAACCCTGGTTAACTAGAACACTGTCTTATCAAAACTTTGGATATGTCCCTAAGGGTCTACTGAAGCTATTGTCCAAAAGATCTCCCAAATATTCAACTACCAGATCCTAGAAGCAGCACAAGTCTGAGCTGGGGTCCAACAGTACTGGACTGATCTCTTCTGCAGCACAATTGTGCAGAACCCTTAAGTGCTGCAGGGCTAAAGCTCCAGTCTCATGGAGCTCCTACACTTTGCAAAAGAGAAGCTTCAAAGCCAGCTAGACTTGGTGAAGCCAGCTAGTGTCTGTAACTGGGGGAGCAGCCCAGAGGATTTGAAGAGTATTGTTCAAGGTTTCCTGATGCTAATTAGTTTTCAAAATCTGCTGGGACAATTTTCTCTATTACCCTAACCCAATATTATCCAAAGGCTTCAGGTGTCTTCTGAGACCTTTGGAAAACTGAAGTTAAAACAGTCAACTGTGTTCTGTAATGTATCCTGCATGGGTGTGTATCTGGTATCATTCATGACAGCAAACACACATTTCTTTCATTTTTACACATAGGTTCTTGTTCAATTATTTGACCTGCTATAGATTCTTACCTGTTTCACTGTATATTAACTGATTTCCCCGTTACCCTTGTGGCAATAATGTTTAAGGAACCCAGTAGCATAAGTATCTTTTCTTGCATGAGGCTCATGACTATGACACGTAGTTTCCCTGCTCATCCAATTTTCTGAGTGGGTTTCAGAAAACAGAATATAGTGTCACATTTCCAAAAATGTTAATATTCTGTTTAAAAATGCTATATTTAAAAAAATCACTAGACCTCCCCATCTGTATTAGGAAGCTTATTGTTATTGTTCAGTAGCTCACACTGACAGCGTTCCCTTTGTTTTATGAGTTTTGTGCTGAAGAAAATAGAGAAAATTGTCCCAACAGATTTTGAAAACTGTGATTAGTGGCAGGAGACCTTGAAAGAGTCTTCAAATTAAAGACCTACTAATGTGCCATGGAACAATTGGAAAATCTTATTGTTTAAAGACCACTCAGATTATATCACATAACTTCTTTGCATTCTTTCTCTCTCCATTTTATTACTAGGGATATAATTCACTTGCTCCTATTGCTTCTTCTCCATGTGAAATCATAGCACATTCTTTGTGAAATGGCATCTCTCTAGGGGATTCCTTATTATCATAGCACATCCTGGAAAGTCTCAGCTTATGTAAAGCAGCAGCAAGACTGTAGTACCATTCTTGGGGCTTATGAGGAGGAGAAGGGAAGTGGACACATTTCTCCCTTGTCCCCAAGAAGAGACATGGTGGGAGTGGAAGAACACCTGGTCACTGAACTCACAGACAAACAATGTGGCAAGAAGAGGGTCAACTGGCTGCCCTATGAAGCTGAATGGAGAGAGGGTGGGAAGAATATGAGGCCTCTGGCTTCTTCCTCAGAAGATACATAGAGATATTGTGAAGGGGGAGCCCCTGGCTTGCTGGGTGGAGGGAGACAGAGGAATTGTGAAGGGGATTCAAAAGTCCATGATCACCCAACTCTTGATGTTTCACGACCATGCATAGAAATCCAAAGTCAGATCAATTCTCCTGGCTTTGGGTTTTGATGCAAAAAGTCTGCACAGTCCTATCAACAATACTCATGCTTAAGGGCAGGATCAGAAAAATAATCACCCTCTCCTGCACATTATCTAGTAGTATTGTATAAGGATGGGGGAGCTGTAACTACATTTGAAGCATATGAGAAAGACAAGGTAGATAAAGTAATATCTTTTATTGGACCAACTTCTGTTGGTAAAAGGTACAAACTTTCCAACTTTACAGAATTCTTCTTCAGGACCTGAAGAATGAATGCACTCTTTTGTACCAAGATCTTTTAATTATTTTAATGGGCGAAAAAGGGCATCAGCACAGGGGTTTCTCCTGTAGAAAAATGCAGGTGGGAAATCAAGGACACATCTTTTCCTACCCTGCTGCATTTCAATTGCTGATGCCTTTGGCACAGATAGACTGTCCCTATAAATACTGAGGAAGCCATTTCCGTAGCAAGTGCTAACTGTTTTAAAGTTCTGTGAACTTCTTCCCTTTCTGGCATTATCCTTTCCTCACCCATCTGCATGGTATAAAGAGTGTGGAGAACAGAGTTGGATACAAGCACCAAGAGAAAATGAATTCAGTGTGACGAGCACAACAGCACGTTTGGGATGGTTTTGAGAAAATAAACCATTTCCAGCAACTCTTGGCACAGTACAAAAAAGCCGCTGCCCAATTCCTCCTGCACATCCTGAGAAATGCGTGTTTGTAAGTGTTCCAACTTACATTAAGGGAAATAAAATCATATACATGCCCATGGGACACCTACGATGACTTCTAGCCACCTGCTTCACATACGCGCCTACTGATTTTTCCTGTCTCACATAACAACATGGCTCAAAAGTCTCTTATTGCTGCCCTCAGAGTTGTTCCTGGGGGACACAGGAAAGAAGCACGAGAAAGGAAATGTGTCCTTCCTGGGCCAAGCAATTCTTTTTAAAGAGAAGGCCTGACAGGGCCGGTGCAAGGATATTTTGCGCCCTTGGTGAAACTTCCACCTTGCGCCCCTCCCCCCCCCTCACTTTCCCCTCCCCCGTCCGACAATCTCCGAAAACTAGTAAACTTAGCATTATAAACAACCTGTCAGAAAGCGTAACGGCTGTTGTAATGTTTCTTTTTTACCTTTAAGGCGTTTGTTTCTATTTGCCATTGCCTCTGATGGTGTCCCATTCAAAGTCTTACTATTGTGCAAAGCTAAGCAACTGAGCCTTGCATTGCATCACCAGCCAGGTTAGGCAGGGTGACAAATCCCCCTTGCCCCAAAGGGCCATTATCCCCTGGTGACTAATTTCTACTCCAAGTCTATAAAGCAGACTTTTAAGGTAAATACATTATTCCTTCAATATGCACACATCTCACAAAGATTCTCACTCTTGACAAGTCACCAGCCTTGTGTAGATCCCTTCCACATTCCTCTTTGTGGGTAAGTGCCCTGTAAGACACATGTGGGGTGCAGCGAGTTTGTCAGGCCTGCGGTGACAGCTGTTTGTGAAGATCGGGGGCCCTTTGCCAAGGGCTGCTTGTGTCACAGTGAGCTTGGGGTGGCTGAGAGTATGGGGCAGGGCACTGAGGCTGGTGGGGCATGTAACACGCACTGGGCTGGAGGGCAGGCGGTGCTGGGATGGGGCAGAGTCAAGTACCTGTCAGTCTTCAGCGCTCGGGCTGCGCCAGGGTCAGCAGCCTCTTCACCTAGGAGTCTCCCCTCTTGCCCGGGGGCCACTCCTCCTCTCAGGCTCCCCGGACGCTGCCGCCGCGGCCACCTGGGAGGATGCGAGCCGGGGGGGGGAGGCACTATGGAGGAGACGTAAGGGGCCGGGCTCGGCTGGGGCCCTGCACCTGCCGGCCAAGAGCAGCAGGAACCAGGTGCCGCTCAGGGGGGGAGCCGGGTGGCCCAAGCCCAGGGTGGCGGCAGCCTCCGCAGCAGCAGGGGCAGGAGAGTCTGCACTGTTGCTGCTGCTGCTGTTTCGAAGGCTTCTGCACCATACGGCAGGGCCGGGGAGCCTGAGAAGAAGAGTGGCCCCCGGGCAAGCGGGGGAGACTCTGAGGTGAAGAGGCCGCTGGCCCTAGTGCGGCCCAAGCACTGGAGACTAACAGGTACCTGCCCCTAAGCAAGAGTATAAAAAAAAAATTTGGGGGCACCGCTTTTTGATGCCCCCAAATCTTGGTGCCCTAGGCGGCCGCCTAGTTGTTACACCGGCCCTGAGGCCTGAGATTAAACTGGCCACTACTCAAAAGTCACCACCCATCCCAGAGAACAGATGAGGCCCTGATCCTGTGAACACTTAAGTACATGTATACATTTTACTCTTGGAATTAGTCCTACTAACTTCAGTGGGACTATTCAGATGAGTAAAGTTATCCATGTGCTTAAGTGCTTGCAGGATCAGGGCCTAAGGGCCTAATTCTGTCTTCAAACAGGCATGCATGACTTGCACTGGGTGAAATTTTTGGTCAAATAGTAAATTTGCTGAAAAACACAGTTTTGGGGCAACTGAAAATATTTGCAAATGTTGGTTAAATCAATTATTCCCTCAGTTCTATGCATGACTCCAGTTTGTTCCTCTGGAAGTCACACAGGTATATCCAAGAGGGGAATTGGGTCTAACTGAGTTTCTTAACCTGGTTTTTCTTGTCAGATGTTTGATGCATGCTGAATGATAATGGAGAGAGGTTACCTTGTACCTCTCCACCACATACATGTATCTGCCTGTTGTTTCTTGTCTTATACTTAATTGCAAGCTCTTTGGACCATGGACTGCATTTTAGTTACGTGTTTGTATAGTGTCAACATGATCCTTGTACCATGATCCTTGATGGGGGCCTTTAAGTATTACCACAGTACAAATAAATGATAATAAATATGAGCTATTCATAACATACATTTGTAAATAAATTCAGAAGTGATTTCAAGTCTGAGGACTGCACAATCTGCTCATGAACATTTCAGAGGTGAGATTCCACACCTTGCTTTATGAATTATTCCCTCGGCTCTGCCAGATGCAGTCCTACCTCAACAACGCCAACTCCTTCCACAGATGATTCTTTTCCCTCCTCCATACAACAGAAGGTCTCAGCCCTCTCCCTCCTGCCTCAGCTAGCACATTAAGATCCAGAAGGTCACTGTGTTAATGAGTGGTGTGTGCTGTGCTCCCTGCTTAACAAGTTATTCTCTGACAGATCAAAGATGATTCTGTAAACAAACGCCTCTTATTGTTCCCACAGAAACCAAATGCAAATATAAAGAGCAAGATATCCAACAGGAATCCACAAATGTATGTACACACCCTCACACGAAATTACAGTGTTATTTAAAACTTTTAGATCACATACCATGTAGCATTAAAAAAAAAAGAATGATAAAAATATAGAGCTGGCTCATGTAACTCCAATGGAAATCACTGAAAGCGTAAAGAACGTGCAGGAATTGTAGGACAAAGCATGAGCTCCCTTAGGGTTAGACTCAGCTGATAGCGTAAAGCATAGCTATACCATCCCAAGAGGAGCTCTGGTGTAGAAATGTGCCCAGAAAGACATGCCAATTCCTCCCCCGCTCCCTCTGGTACTGGTGGGGTGACATAAGTTACTTCTTCACCCCTAGTCAGGATGCAACACACTCCAGGCTATGTGCCCAACCAGCTAACCCGAGTAGTGAGTGAAGTGGATGAAGCCAACATTCTTCCCATTCCCTACCCACTACCTCGAAAGGGGGAGTAACGGGCAAGAAAGAGAGGCTTTCCCACTCTCTTCCCTCTGCAGAGCACCACAATCTGAGCAGTCCTTACTTGGCCAAGGAGGGGTTATTGAGGATGGGGAGGACATGGCCTGACTCCACCTTACTCACCTGCATGGCTTAGTAAGGCCTGGGGACAATCTAGCCCTTAAGAGGCTTGTGTACTTCACTAAGAGGAGGAAAGTTGGCACTTTACCCGCCTACTTGTCCCTCTGACACCTCATCACCACTTTCAGTTCAGAAGGCTTGTTCTTCCCTTTGAGGTTAAAGTCAACAGCTTACGTTTATTTGCTGAGAGCTGGGATTTAAACTGGCCTCGAACCAGCCGGCAGGTGGACCCATCGCCATTGCAGACCCCACAGTTATCTTCCTTGACAGTGCTTCCCAGCTGGTGATCACAGCCAACGATCTGACAAGAAAGAAAGATGTGCAGTTCAAACTGAGCACCTACGGACTGCTGGATCCATCTCTGCAGCTAATTACCGCCAAATTTCTCTCACATCATCCCCAGAGGGCCATAAAGTACATTAGCAATGAAAGAATCTGAATGAATCTGGCTGAGAGCTTGAATTGAACTCAGGAGCTAGATACTCAGCAGGTCTGCACTAAATGGCTTTTGCAGTTCAGAGAAAGAAAAAGCATGTTGATTTTTTTAGGGTCTTGTGAATGCTTCTTGGTAACGGTCCTATCAGAGATAACATTTTTAAAAGGTTTGTAAAGAAAAATATATGATTCTAGTTAGACTGATAGATACTTACAGAACAGATAACTAAAAAGCTCTGCTGTGATCTCAGTGGTGTCTTACCTGATATGCAGTTGGGAAAACCATGTGGTTTTAATTACATTTGACAATAATCCCACTCCACACAATCAAAGCCTGCATTCGGATAATGTTAAGGATTTGATGAAGGAGGGGAAGAATAGTTAAAACAAAGAACTGAGAGCCAGGAGATCTGGATTGTATTCCCAGCTCTGCAATAGGCTCTCTCTCTTTGGGCAAATCATTTTAGTTAAAATTTTTAAATTTGGGTGAACAAACTGGGCTCCTAGATCCAGATGTAGGCTCCTAAACAACCTGTAGTGTCCACTGAAGTAAATGGGATTTAAACTTTTTTTAAGCCTGGGGTGAATTTGGTCTTTTATCTGAACTGATCCTGGACATGAAATTATGGAGTTTCACCCAACATTGCTTTAAAGCCAAGAAAATAAGCAAGTCCATATTACACATATTAAATAAGCATGAAAGGCCTCCTAGCACTCTGGCTTCCAAAGCCAGCCATGGACCAGGCTTGTACATAAAATTCTTTTCTACAGTGTTTGTGCTAAATTTAGAATAGATGTAAACAGTAGTGAGTTATGAATAAAGTGTTCACCTTAATGCTAAATCTGCATGCTTCCGTGGGCTTCACTTAAATTCAAAGTGCCAAATTTTAGAAGGCGATTATAACAGGTGCGGCTGTAAAAATGTATGCTCATCAGCTGGGCTCATAAAAACACACATGTACATGTGCAAATTGGGTTACTGAGCACTACAATAATGGTGCATGCAAATGGGTTTTTAGACACAAGTCCCTGACTTATATGTGCATATGGTTGGTTGTGTTCTGCTGGGCTTTGCTGAAACAAGGGGTGTTCCAATTATTTTTGTCAGCTCCCCCTTTATGCTCTCCTGGGAAATATGTGGAACCCGTTTAATGTTATGACTTAATATTAACTTTTTAGTGGTTTAGTTTCTCTCTCTTTTTCTCTTTTTTTTTTAAAACTTAAAAATTGTGTAGTAATTGGCCCTCAATTACTGTCCCAACTGGCAGAGGGCACACCGTACCATAACCCACATCAGGCCTGACATACGCACTGCCCCAACACATTCTTTTCATAACCTGTATTTTAAAAAAAAGTGTCCTGTTAGGTATCATATGCAAACTCGTAACATGCTGGTCAAAAATGTGTATGGAGGTGTATAAAGAATTAGAGATGTGTGATGGAAATATGGTCTCAGAAGGGGTTTTGCAAGCAGGGCATACACACAGCCTGTCCTAGACAAAGGAATGCTGTTTTGCCTGTCTTCCTGCCTATTCACTGAAATTTAATTGAAATTCATTTTGGAGGACAATGAAAAGCAATCTACGTAGAAAGGAAACAGAGCCATAAAGCTAAACCAGCAGGGGGAAAGACCTCAAAGATCACAGGGGATGGAGCCTACACCCTCAGGAAGCCTTCTTGGTTCTTGAAATGGAGACAATAGACTTTGGGAAACATAAGCAAAGGCAGAAAGCCATTTTGGCATCCATGAGAGGGGACAAAGGATGAGCAGCATCCTAAGAGATCACGAAAAGTGGATCCTCTTAACCTAACAACAAAGAATAGCTGGAATTGACTACAGGTGAGAAACCTGCTTGGATAAAGATTATAAAGTGCTGAAATTAAGTTTTAGTCACTAGAAAGCATGTTTTGTTTGACTTATAACCATACCTGTGTTTTCTGTTCTACTTATTGTAACTTAAATATCTGTTCTTTGTTAATGAACATATTCTTGGTTTTACTACAAAACCATCTCAGTGCTGTATACTAAACTGAGGGGTGAAGTCCTCAGCTAAACGAACAGGCTGGCACGCTCTGCCTGTTTGGAGGCAGTAAACTTAATATCTTCTGTGAGTATCCAGTGAGAGGCACTGGACGCTGCATGGGAGATGGTTTTTTGTGGGGGGGGATCAGGACCAGAAGCGCTGTTGGTGTCACCCTGCCAGGAGTAACCAGGCTAGTGGAAGTTGGGCTGAGGCCATTGTGCTGCGAAGAGGCTGCTGGTGTCAGGGCTCTGATCTAAACCTGCACAGCACAGAGGCACCCAGGGTTACAGGTCACATGGTGACAACCCCTTACTGGTCTGCGTGAACCCGCAAAGTGTCACAGTAATAATAATGATATTACTCCCTGTACCATGAAAGCTCCTTCAATTAATGTTAGTCACAACACACTATGTAGACTTATTATAAAACACAATGGGGTCAAATTCAGACTAGACAGAACCAGACAATTTCTTTGACTTCACCCACTTCAACCCTGTTCAATTTGGCATATATATTTATGTGTGAAGCCATAATGACTCTATAGAAGCTAACAAAGGCCACGGGGTAAATGTTAAACATTTTTGATCAGATATACATGTATAAAAACTGCCAAGATAGAAAGAGACACTGTTCAGCTGTGTAGCAGATAAAGATGAAATAATCAAGTTTATAAAGTTACTTCTAACCTGAGTGGAAATTACTTACTCCATTTGAAGCTTCTGCATATAGGTTTATGAATCCTGTGGGTGGAGCCATACTAGACCTAATTTTACATTGTCAATCTTGACCATAGATCTAGGGCCTTGTCTACATGCAAACTTATACAAAATAACTAAGCTGGCTTTAATTGGCACCTTTTGTTATTTCAGTACATATTCTGTGTGTGGACACTTTGATTCTGAAACAAATATCCACACACACACTTGCACTGAAACAACAAAAAGTGTGAATTACAACTGACCAGTCAGGCTATATATATATATATTTTTTTTTCTCCCGTATTAGGACACTAGGATATGAAATCAGACAGATACAACTGCATGATTGAAATACTTTTGCATGGAGCTGGATAACAGCCCACACCTACATACTAGGCAAAAAGGCTCCTGTTGAAGATCCTGATGCCAGAGGAACTGCAGGCATTTCCCCTTCCTCGATCCTGGCACCACACAATAATTTAAAGGTATGCTCCACAATGGAATGCAAATCTAAATGTGCCCACGCATACCTCATACTGCAAAGCACATCTGAATTCCTTTTGGTGTGAAAGGGCCTGGATATAAAAACAAATTCTGTTCCATCCATCCAATTTCAACATCAACTTTTATCCCCTTAAGCCTTCATAACTTTGCTTGTGACTCATCAACAGTCATATCACCTCTGGCTGTGATCTTATGATATCTCATTTATAAATTGAGCAATGTTGGACCAGGTCAGTACTTGGATGGAAGACTGCCAAGGAAAACCTCAGGTGCTGGAGGAAGTTGTGTTTGTGATTCATTATTCTTTTTGAGACGATATGGAGTCATTGACCCAGCAAGGCACTGTTCTGCTGGAAGTGCTGTATTTTAAATGGGACAAAATGGCGTTCTCTAACCGCTTGTATTCACTAAAAATCCTATGGCACCATATACAAGATCAGAGGCGTTAACCTCACTGTCCTGGCCAAATTCTAGTTTAGATCATTATATTCTGCCTGAGTAAATTCCTCTGCAGTTTTACCTGGACATAGTATTTTCTTCAGTTCTTCTCCTAAATTGCTGCCCAGTTTTGTTGTACTCTAAGTTATTTATGTCAAAGTATTTAAAATATCCCCATCCAAAACTCCAGGCCCCTTTTAAAGGTTATAATAAAAAAATCCTTATAGCAGATGGACTGGACCAATTGTTCCTTTCAAGACAACAACTGGACCAAAATTAAAAATGTTCCCCCCTGAAAAAACTTTCCCTCCATCTCATTCTTCACCCCCTCCCACTCGAGGAAAAGCCTGGGAAAACAGATGTGTTATCTGTTAAATGGCTGCCACGTTCCATTCCCCAGAAGTATCTGTATTTAAGTGAGGTGGCTTGGGGGGAATGGGGAGAAATGATTTCTGCAGAGTTTGTAATGAGCTTGGTGATTCTTTAGGACGAAAAAAGATGTATAAAATCCTTTTGTGGAGTTTACAGGAAAGAAACTGTACAAGTTGGGTCTGTACTTGACTATGGTAAGTCAACTTAAAAAAACACAGAGCTCCTGAAATACCAAAGAGGCTGAAGCAACTCATCTATGAGTATAATCATTCCTTCCTCCACTAGCAGAGGGAATCTAGATCTGGTGGAGTTAGGGTAGAGGTGTGCCAGCTCTGTAACATTATTTTCACCTCCCTAGGACCTCACGAGGTCCTCTGCAAGGATCAAGAGCAGAAAGAGGGTGAGAGCAGGGCTATGGATATAACCACTATCCATGGCATTGTATCCCCAGAAATGCAATGCTCACTCAGTCAGCACTCTTTCTCTTCCTTCTCCATCTCTGTAATATGAATCAATTCCAGAGAAGAGGTTCTGGGGTAATGGACATCAGTGCAGTAATAGGAGCACAATTCCTAGATAAATCCTTCTGCCATCGAGTCCAGGTTCAGTTGGGTTGAAATAGCTATGGAGTATTGCCAAGGCACAGGGCCCCCAGGCAGATTATTCCCAACCATCTGTCATCAGGACTAACTACTGAAAAGTGTACCATTGGAGATGTAGTATGGCCAGAGTTTGGCCATGAGGGAGAATGGGGCCATGATGCACTTGAACTACAGCTCCCCTGAAGCCCCACGACTGCTCAGGTGGGCAGAGATTAGTGTAGCCATGAC